CCCCAAAACCCCAAAACCCCAAAACCCCAAAACCCCTTCTATTTTAGCCAATAATGAAACTACTTATGAAAATCCTAACACTTTTCCCCATCCTCCACTCTCTGCCTGGGTTGATCATTCGATTCTTTCTTCCTCGTTAAACTCTAGCATTGTAAAGAGGGCTTTCAGTGTGGATTTGCTAATATTCTGGTCCTCCTTGTTACAGAGGTACTTCATCAGTACTCCTTCTACATGATTAAGGCACATGTTACGTACTTATCAGAATCTTTTGGATTAGTTCGTCATTGTCTTCAGTCTTCTTCTCTTCCAATAGGACCTTGATCTCTCTATCTTTCTCACGGATTTCTTCCTGCAAAATATTCATTGATCGCATGAGATTCACTTTCTCATCATCTGTCTTACGATTTTGGCTGCTAATTTTAGCCTCCATTGTTAGCAACCTCTGGTCGGTTGTTTTGAGCTGTTTAGAAACTTTGTCGAGTTCTTCACATTTTATAACTTATATCTAGCCTTGAAATCAGAGTTCAATAACTCCTTCCTCATTCTTTCCTTATCTTTCTCCAAGTTGAGCACACTCTTTTCAAGACTTTTTGACTTCTCTTGCACAGATGTGAGGTCTTTAGATAGCTTCTCATTTTGAGCTTTGATGTTCTATAGAAGGGTGATATATTTTCGTACCTTGAGATCAAGGAATTTCTTCTCGTAATTCTGGAGATCACTATTGAGTTTAGTCTGCATCTCATCTTTCTTTGAGATTGTTGTTTGAGTTTCGATAAGTTTCTGCTTCAAAGTATCATTTTCTTTCTGTATTTTCTCTAAATCTTTTACTTTCTCAGTAGATCCTTTCTGGTGGGCTTCAAGATCTTTTATTTTCTGGAGATGGACCTTCTTTTCCTCTTCAAGTTTGGATAAAGTTGACTCTAGGGTTTTAGCCTTCTTGGCTTCTTGTTCAACATTGACTTGATTCTTTTTGAGTTCTTCATTAGCTTTCTCTAAGTCTTTTTCTTTCTTTTTAATTTCTTCTTGATGGGCTTGGTAAATGGATTTTAGCTTATCGCTTCCATTCACTTCTTCAACTTCAATCGTCTTTTTAACCTCTTGTAGTTCCGTTTCTAATCTATTTTGGTAAGATTTAGAGTTACAGTTTGACTTTCTCATTCTTCCTCTCAACCTCCTGCTGGTTCTCCTACACATAACCCTCACCCCTACCTGCATCATAACCTGTGCCTGACTAACCTTCTGCTCTACTACTCTCTGCAACCTCTCTACTTCCTCTCTCTTCTCAACCACTTCTTTCTCCAGTGTGACCTGCACCTTCTGAACTTCCTTGTAGTCGACCATGCCTTCGAGTTTCTTTTTGAGGTGAGCGGTTTCTTCCTGTAGGGGTTAAGGTGGGGGTTACTTGGGATTTTTGGAGTTGGGATTGGGAGTCTTGGGTGAGTTTTGTGTGGGCGGATTGGAGGTCGGTGAGTTGGGTTTTGTAGGTGTGTTCTGTGGTGGATTTTGTAGTATTAGCTTTTTTGAGCTCTTCTTGTAACTCTCCGATCTTCTTTGTCATTTCCTTAAGTTTAGTTTCAGTTTCACTAGATTTTTGAGCATTCTCCTCTTTTTCCTTAGCCAAACTGACTAAATCCTTCTTAGCCTGTTCTTCATTTTCCTTTGTCTTATCAAATTCAGCTTTTAATGTACTATATTGCTGCTTATGTTCTTCCTTTGTGTTATGCAAACCTTCTAGATCTTTCTTTAATTTGCCTTCATTTGCTTTAGCCTTTTCAAGTTCAGCTTGTAATGTATTATGCTGTTTCTTTTGTTCTTCATTAGCTTTCTTAAGATTTTCAAGACTCTTCTTGAGTTGCTCTTCATTATCCTTTGCTTGATTTAATTCTGCTTTTAATGTACTAGATTCCTTGTTGTTCTCTTCTGTAGATTTACTCAAACCTTCAAGGTCTTTCTTTAGCTTAGTTTCTGATTCTCTTGCCTTATCCAATTGGGATTTCAGTTTAGCTTGTTCTTTTGTTTGTTCTCCTTTAGTTTTAGATAAAATTTCAAGCTCTTTCTTTAATTTCTCTTCGTTTATTTTGGTTTTTTCCAATTCTGCTTGGAGTTTGGTATGTTGTTTCTTTTGTTGTTCATTATCTTTGCTAAAATTTTCAAGGTCCTTCTTCAACTGTTGTTCAGTAGTCATAGCTTTTTCTAATTTTTCTTTAAGTCCAGTGTACTCTTGGGTTTGTTCATGTTTCTCTTTAGTTAAGTTTTCTACATTCTTCTTGAGTTGGCCTTCAGTAGCCCTTGCTTTCTCTAACTCAGTCTTTAAGCCAATTTGTTCTTGACTATGGTCTTCTTTTTCTTTGAGTAGCTTCTCAAGCTCTGTCTTGAGTTGAACTTCGCTCTTTTGTGATTTTTGGAGAGATGCTTTCAATCCTGTAAGTTCTTGGTTGATTTTGGAGAGGTGATCGTCCTTCTTTTGGTACTCGAATGCTTTGCTCTTGTGTTTCTCAACATTAGTTTTAGTCTTTGATAATTCTGTTTCAAGTTCTGATGTCTTTTTACTGAGTTGAGATATCTCTTGTGTGTTGTCCTTAATTTTCTTCAGGCATTTCTGATGTTCTTTCTCTTTATTAACAAGCTCAGCAGTGACCTGATCGAGTTTTTGCTGAAGTTCATTGGAAGCATCTTGCTGTTCAGTAGCCTTTTTATATTTCTCGTCTAACTCTTTTTGAGCTTTTTCGAATTTCTCCCTGAGTTGTTTAACCATTTGGAGAGACTTTGCTTTGTTATCATCCAGAGCTTTGTCTAGCATGTCTTTTTGCTTCTTCAGAGATTCTGTTTGAGCCTTCTCTTTTTGGAGGTCTGTAGCCAAAGCTGTCTGTATCTCTGTTGATTTCTTCTGAAGGTCTATTAGCGTAGACTTTAAAGCAGCATTCTGTCTGTTGAAGGATTCTAAAGATTCATTATGAGATTTTTCTAGATCTGAATGATTTTTCTCTAATTCAGTGTAAGAAGTCTGCAGATCTGAAGTAGATTTTTGTAAGTCAGCATGTGCTTTCTCAAGTTCAGTAAGAGCTTTGGCTGCTTGAGTACCCTTCTCTATGCATTCCTCTAAGGATTTTTCTATACTTATAAACACATATTGTCATACCAAGTTCTTCGTTCTTCTGGTCTAGTTTAGAGTTGGTTTTTGCTAAGGCAGTTACTCTTCCATCAGCATCTTTCTGCTGCTTGATAATATCACCTATCTTTTTGATAATATACTGCTGGTCAGTTGTTTTAGGTCCTGGTTTCTCGCCTGTAGCTTTCTGTAGGTGTTCCTTGATTGTAGAGAATCCGTTCTGGAGTTCTGTGGTTGAAGCTTCTATTTGGGATGTGTCTGATTTAGATTTCGTCTCAATTTCTTTGGTGTTTTCTTCAGTTTGTTTTGATTTGCTTCTTTCTTGCTGGAGGAGGTCTGATAGTTCTTTCAGTTTTGTTTTGTGAGCTTCTGTTAACTCTTTGTGTTGGGATTTGAGTAGTTGTTCATTTTCTTCGGATTTTTGGAGGCTTTTGTTGAGCTCAGAGATTCGGGATGTGAGAGTCATGATTTGGGTGGAAGAAGCTTTGGAATTTGATGCAGAAGAGTTTTTGAAAGATGCTAGAGATGTTTGAGTTGTTTTCAGTTCTTTGTCTTTTTCTTCTAATTCTTTTGAGGTAGCTGCTAACTTGCCTTGAATTTCTTTATTTTCTTCAATAATTTTAGCAGTGCTATTTTTAAACTCTTGAATTTTCTGACTAAGATCCTCAAGGACTTTTGCTGTATGCTCTTCTTTCTCTTTCTGACTATTTATATTTTTAGTAGTATCAGATAGTTTCTTGTTTGCTTCATCAAGGCTAGTAGTTAATTTAACAATCTTCTCTTGACTTTGTTTAAAAGTTTCCTCTTGCTTCTTCTTTTCAGAAACAGCCTCAATGTACTTTTTCTCAATGTCCTTCAAAAGAGTTGCCTGCAATCCAAACTTCTTGTTACTCTCTGCAAGCGATTTCTCCAAAGCTTCAACCTTTGACTCTGATGGAGCCTTCTGTGTCTCCTTTGTAGCGACAGCACTCTCAAGTTCTTGGACCCGCTTGTGGCTCTGACTCAGCTTGTCTGCAGCCTGCTTAGCCTGGCTCTCATACTGCTGTCTGGTTTGTTCGCTGTCTTGTTTGAGTTTCGCAAGTGTAGCTTCGAGCCTAGCTTTGTCTGCAACCATCTGTTCGTTCTCCTCGTTGAGTCGCTGGCTTTCGTCGTTGAACTGCTTGAGGTACTTCTGAGATGACTCATACTTGACTTTGAACTCTTCGGCTTTGTTGGACAGCTCCTTGATTTCACTTATATTTTGTTGTCGATGTCTTGTTTGGGGTAGAACAATCCAGCCAGTTGTGCTTGAAGTTCTTGTGCTTTGGGCTGCTTAGTCGACAAGAATCTCCTGATCACATCAATGTTGAGTTCTGGCTCTGCAACAGGTGTCTTCGGAGCTGTAGTGTTGCTCTGTATATCTGCCAAACTTTGAGCAGTCTGGTTGTATTTGTGTTCAAGCTGTGCATACCTCTGGTTGACTTCATTGATGATTGCGACACTTTTGTGTTTCTCAGATTCGTTTTCTTGCAGAAGTCTCTGGTACTCTTTCTCTCTGCCTTTATACTCTTCGACGGCCTGTTCGTGTTCATTAAGTTTGGCTCTGATGAAGCCTTTGAGTTTGTTAAGTTCAACTTCTGGAGGGTCTCAATCGAGATTTTGGCCAGTGTCTTGTTTCTTCTTGACTTCTTCAGCAACAGCTTGTTGCACAACAGCTTGGAGAGGGTCAGATTTTGCTGGTTTGCGTTCTACGTTGGAGGGATCCTGTTTACGCTTGTCATCAACAGCAATATACTTTTCGGCAGCTTTGAATCCTGCAGTTGCTTTTTCTTTTAAGTTAGAAAAGAATGACATTTCGGATATGCTGATATTTTATTATTTAATATTAACCTTCTTCATGGGGTTTTGGGGTTTTGGGGTTTTGGGGTTTTGGGGTTTTGGGGTTTTGGGGTTTTGGGG